AACACGTACAAAAATTCTAGCCTACCGTACCGTCTTCGAAAACAATAGCCTCATTGTTGGTCTCTCCCCAACCCGCTCTAAAATTCTCTGGAGAATAGTTGGTGAGGACAAAAGACATGAGAGAGTTTTTGCTGAATCTACGTACTGGACGATAAGTCCAAGTCCGAGAAGTTTTAAAGTAATTCCACTACTGTTAACTGAATAAAACTATAAAGAATGAGAATCTGTCACATACACACTGACATCACTAAAACATAAATCTGGTCATTCTCATTCATCACAATATGTCATGATCGCCCATTCCATCAAGGTCTCGACATTTGGTATTCTCTTCCTATTTAATCATAATTTCTCGGTCACCACGTCATTTATATTGCCCAGTCATTTAGGGTCGCCGGTTCGCCAATATCCGTTGGCTCGTAGATCCGGGTTCCAACACACTCCTGTGATCTTGTTAAGCAGCTGCGCTGGCCGTGGGTTCGCTAGTAGTTGCTTGCTGTTCAATCTTCATTTGCTGCTTGATAAGATCATTTGACTCCATCTTTGCAGTCCTTTCATCTTGTCTCTGTTTAATCTCCTGTGTTGCCTGGGTGTTATACTGTGTTATTTCCTTCTCATCGATTCCTAGTATCGTATTACGGAATCGACGGAACTGGCTTCCTTGCAGTGGTTTGGTGAAGTAATCTGCAATCATATCCATGGTTGGGCAATATTCCACGCTCAGCTCCTTCGCAGCAATCCGGTCGGTTATGAAGAAGTATCGAATGTCCATGTGGCGTGTCCGCTTCCCACTTGACCTCTTTCCATTCTTCTCCAACTTCATTGCACTCTGATTGTCTTGGTATATGATGTTGTCAGTCACCGGGAACCCCTGTTCCCGTAGGAAATATCTAGTCCAGATGACTTGTGTAATTTCATCATCCACGCCGACTAACTCTGCCTCGGTTGAGCTTCGAGTCGTCAGCTTCTGTTTGGATGATGCGGAGTTGAGGGCTCCCTTCCCCATTGTCATAGCCATTCCTGTATGACTCTTCATATCATTGTGCACGGCGAAAGCTGCATCCACGTACCAGCGCAGCTGTCCGCTACCGTCTGCACTGAATATAAGTGGGAGGCCGATCGACCCTCTGAGGTACTTCATCACCCTCTCCAGCTTCTTCCAATCATCAGTGTCAGGGTTTTTTACCCTGGTGCATAGGAATGCAACCGGCAGTTGGATATCGGGCCTGGCCCTTTTAGCCAGGAACAGCAGCTTTGCCGTGTTGGTGTGGAATATTCCTTGCATCTCCTCGTTGAGCTTCACGGGGTCATCGTCATTAACTTGAAACAGGTGGCTCCCTGCTGGTGTTGCCGCTTCACCAGACCTCATCCCTTCTGGAAGCTCATCCAACATGTTTGCCACGTAATCGTGCATAGTAAACTTTACTTCCCCTTGCTTACGATAGTCAATAGTCATTCCTAGATAATCATG